AATAATGTTCATTATTAGGCATAGTAATTCTATACTAATCAAAGCAGTATAATAGTTGCACAAAACTAGTTTTCACCTATTTGGAAAAACATTAAAACTCTTGACAATGATCAGGAGTTTTATCATGTTAAATTTGTAATAAATTTTATTGGAAAAATGTTAGTTTTCTTGAAATTGATCTTTGTATGACTTAGGGTCTTTTAAATCAAGTGTCCAAATGGATTTTTTTTCATGTATTTTGACAAGCTAAATGAAAGGACAGAAGGCCAGGAATAACAAGTATTATTGATAAAGAAGAAAATAATACTGAGGAGCAATAGAAGAATTTGCTCTGCTACATTAAAACTTGCTACAAAGAAAGTTTAGGTAATTGTAAAGGAGTGCAGAAAAAGGGCATGCATGATTATAGTAAGATGATCCAGCCTGAACTACTTAGAAAGAACTTATGTCAAGACAAACATACAATAGTCACTGCCTGTTGTCCACTGCCTAAAGGACATTGTTAGGCAGGTGTAGTTGTGCATATCAGCATTGGGGGGTGGCAGTAAGAGCATTGGAGTTCATTGCTAGACTTGATGCAGTCTTAAATAAAACCATAAAGATAAAGATAAAGTACCTACAGCCAATCCTGATGAAAACCTGACTTTGTTACCTGGTACCCACACAAGAGAAGGAAAGAATCTACTTTGCAAGTTGTCCTCTAGTCTCCATATATAAAATGGCATGTACCCCACCCCCATGCTCAGTCTTGCTCAGTGTCTGTCTGTCTCTGTGCCCCCCCCCCACCAGATACACTCACTCCTGTGAATCAGGATGTAGGTTTCAACTACTTCTCTAACACTAGGCCTTCCTGCATGTTGCCATGTTCTCTGCTGTGATGATAATGGCCTAAACCTATGAAAGTGTGAGTCCCCAATTAAATGCTTTCTCTTATAAGTTGCCTTGGTCATGGTGTCTCTTCACAGCAATAGAACAGTCACTAAGATAGAAATTGTTAACAGGGAGTGGCATATTGCTGTTACAGGCTTGCCCATGCTGTTGGTTGGAAGAATATGGAAGATTTGGGGACATTGGATTAGAAAAGCAGTCGGATGTTTTAAGTGGGGCTGAATGGGCCATGTTTGTATGAGCATGAAGACAGTGCTGAAGGCAGCTTGAACTGCGGAGCCCCAGCTCAAGAACTTTCAGAGAGCAAGGTTATTAGCAAGTGGCTTAGAGACCATTTTTGTGAACCATCTCTTCATCCTTGAGTCTCCTTATTTCTAATAAAGATGTAACGGAACAGTTTAAGACAAAGTATCCTTGTTTCTTAAGAGTCTGTATACCTTTGTGAACAACCGGTGAAGCCCAGTAGAAAGTTTGCAGTAACTGGTCCTCATTTGAGCCTTCAGTGGGGAGTTGGATGCTATTTGTAGGATAGAGACAAGTACATCAGTTCTTTATCAAGAATGAAATGCAAGAAGTGGGAGACTAAAGTCCTTGGGAGCTGCCTAGAGGTGGAGAAAAATGTACTTTCTAGTATTGGACAATCATATGGCATTAATTAACTGAGAAATATAAATTATGTCTAGGAATGGACATAGCTAGGGACTTATGATGGAAAGAGACTTCCACTACAAAGGCAACCCCTTCCCTCAAGCCCCTGGTTCTTCCGAAATCTAAAGACAATGCTCTCTAGTAGAAGAAGGTCACAATAGCCAGCGAGAAAACAGACTACCACAGTGTGATTTTCTGGTGCCTAGTGAGTGATCTTAGAGGATAACTGCCAGATGGTTTTGAAGTAGAACACAGTTTCCACTTATGTATCTTCTCCAGTCTCTGGACAGGGCTTTTTAATCTATATGTTTTGTTCTTTGGCAGTTTCATTCGTTTGTACAGTGAATTTCTGTCATTTCAACACCATCACCCACCACCATCTGTCTTCCCCAACTCCTTTCTCAGGTGAAAACCTTCCCAGCAAGTCCCCCTCCTACTTCAATTTCTTTTCTGTGTGTGTTACCCACTGCGCTTGTTAGAGTTGCTCTCATGAGCATGGGTAGAAAGTTATTTTCTGGAGCATAGGACAGCCTACCAGTGGCTACACCACAGAAGAAGGTGACAGCCCTTCCCCCAACACTACTAAGTGTTTGTAATTTTTCAGGAAGGAGTGTGGCCTCATTTGCTCTTCCCCGTTTCATGATAAAATGATGATTGGCTCAATCTTGTACAGGTAACCACAGATCTAGTGAGTGTTTCTGAGTGTCATAGCCATGTCATGACCAGATGCCTTTTTGCAAAGCACTTACCCTTCCTCCGTCTCTTCCAGTCTTTCCTTCCTCTCTTCCATAATTCTAAACTTTGGAAAGGATGATATCAATGACCCATTTAGGACCAAGCACTCTGCCATCCTCTCTTCTTGGTAATTCTACCAGTTATGAGTCTCTGCATGAATCACAGCCTGCTGCAATGAGAAACTTCTCTGACAAAGACTGAGAACCTAACATGATTTTCTGCATTTACAACCAAAGTGTAGGAAGCTGGGAGATGGTGCCGAGTAAGGAAGAAAGAGACCCCCTGGATTCTCTGTCATATTACTGTTATCTTCAGCATTGCAGCCCAGGTTTAACCCTGAGTAAGTTTAAAACCTCAGTGGCCAGTTGAACTCTGTAAACTCAATTTCATTAAGAACAAAGATAACAATGTAGTAGTTTATCTCTCCGCGTTATCTATGGAAATGCAATACATCTCCAAAGCATTTCAGCTCAGTATGTTCAGTGGCAGTAATTTTCTGTGTTTATATATCAAGTTCAGTTTGCCTTAAGAACTGACACAAGTACCTTTTGTGTTTAATCTCTCTTTAAACAAAACAGTTTCATATAACCAGTGGAATTACGTTAAACAGGTGCAAATCTCTCTCTCCTTTTTTTTTTTAACATGTTAAACTTAACATTTCTTTTAAAGGACTATTAGGCTGCAATTCCCAAGACTACTAATAATACAAGCCACTTTAGGAGTAATTCCTGGACATAATTCTCTCTTAGGAGATGCAGGTGCATAGGGCCAGGTTCTGTCCTAGTGATTTTGGGAACAAACCACTTGGCATATGCCTTGTATTATTTTCTGTAGAAGGAGGCATTGTATTGGAACTTTATTGGTTGGCGTGAGTTTCTTTATCAGTTAGGTGCTATCCTCCAGGTAACAGGCTTCATGAACATAGAGCAGTGGCTTTCATGATCAGCTTTACATTTGGCTCCTTCCTGGCTATAACTTTCTGTTGCTCAGATTTTTGTCAGGAAGAATTTGAAACTTTGAACATGCCATCAGCATCTTAATTGCTTAGACCTGCAGACTAGCAAAGGCTAATTCTCTTCCCTGTTTAGTCCTTTGTAGACTCATAAATAATTATGTGAAAATTTACTTCTAAATTTTAATGTGTTCTTGAGTTCCAAATTGCTGCTAATTCCTCTCCTATAACCACTCCTCCACTGACAGTAAGGCAAATAAACAGATATGGAGGTAACATCTATCTTCTCAGTGACCTAAAGTATGAAACACTTGTTTAAAGCACTCAGAGAAATGCCAACCTTGTACATATTTTAACAACATTTTAACAACCTAGCAGAAGCAAGCAATATGACTGAAATACAACCTGATTTTTACTGTGTCGGGAAAATATATTTGATTGCTGTAAATCTGGAAATTATCCTTTTATGGATGTCGCTGTCATTTCACAATCTGCATGACTGAAGTAATTGTGCTGTCAAAGCCATTGCATGTTTAGACAGAACATCAAGTCTGTGCTTTCCTGTGTCCTGAGCCTGCTTGCAGGGTGGTAGGATGGGCAGTAAATCTAGAAGAGGAAACTTCTTTGGTTGTGTTTTAACTATACACATGGTTTCAGAAAACCTTTGTCATGAAGTTAAAGATAGAAGGTACTTGATTTCCCTGTGGAGGTTTTAATGATTCTTAGTCTCTGTCTTGAAGGCTTAGCAGCTTTCTGGGCTGTCTCAGTGCCGGGAAACTTTCACCCTCTCTCAAGACTGTGAAGCACTGTTAATTGACCTTTTCAGGAGAAGTCAACCCAGTGTTTTATGACCCAAGGGAAACTAGAGAAAAGGGACCAAGGAAAGGAGGGGAAAGGCAGGCAAGTGCTCAGAACTCGGATGAATCCATGGCAATGGCTTCACTTCACAGATTAGATTCTCTGTTTGGGGCAGAGTTGATGCAGTAGCTATAGCTTGCACACTTAAGGGAAATAGAATATTTCACAGTGTATCATCATTTCAAAATGTTCTACTCTTGATGGAGCTCCACTTTGGCTCCAGTTTGAAACCATTTTGAAGAATGTTATAATGGAAATACACGTATTTGTGAAAGTTCAGCATTAGGTGTTAAGTACTCTTTCAAAATGGCTGTACCCATTTGTACTTCTATCAACAGCAAATGAGATTGCCAGTTGTCTCATGTATTTGCAGTCTTTTTTTCTGTCTGTTCTGGTGAGTTGGGAGTTCAGCGGGATGCACGTTGTTGGTGTTTTGTTTTGTTTTGAATTCATGCAGTGTTTCTTATGTCTCATCCTTTACAAAGATGTGACTGCACTTGAACTAAGGAGTAACTTATTTACAAAGTACACTCATTTTGAGTAAAAAAATAAACTATTCTTTTAATGAAAAGTAGTGGACATTAGCAGGTGGCCAAGATCTATGCATCAGTTTAGACTTAATTTATCATTCATCTGAAATCATTCATTTTCAGACATGTTAGACCTCCTCATTTGTTCCCTTTTACAGATGAAGTGACTGAGCCACTTCACAGACTTAGGACCATGCCAGGTGTTTTGTCCTGGCCTCTTAGAAGAGCCAGCATGATAATATTGTTCTCTCCACTCATGTGAGGCCTCTGTTACTTCTTTATTCTTTTATTTGTTAATTATTGAGTGGCATATTGTGTGACACAAATTGGGCAGGGTCTCTGGAATTCAGACAGATTTATAATCTAATCATGTCACTTTCATATTACAGGTTTTGGCTTTCAGATCACAGCCTATTTCCTCAAGAGAGGGATACACCTTCGCTGTATTCAGAGCTCACAGAATACTGGTAAGAATCCGATTTCTTGGATCAGGCATTTACATAATCAATTTGTCCAAAAGAGGATTGAAAATTAGAGAATAAATATTCCTATTTGCTCTGTGTCTACGTCATTTAGTATTTCAAAGCATATGTGATACCTCATATTCCATTCATAGTGCTTACTGACCACGGAAACAGAGAACTGGACCACAGTGCACTTTACTTTCTTGGTGCATCACAACATTTTCATTGGGTTCCAAAAGTGATTCAATGAACGTGTGAAGTTTGTTTGAATCATTTTGTCAGGGTACATGCACCCCATAGCGCTTGGAAAGGGGCAACTGAGTTTCAAGAAAGTGCTTTCCCAGCCCAGAGCCAGCAAACCTTCTTTAAGTAGTTAATGAGGCCAACTCCTAACCCTTACTTCTGCAAGTCATGATATAGAAAATGATGTCATGTCCAATCAACCACAATGAAGTCAGAAGATAATGGCCATTCCTTCTGTGTAGATATGAACATTAGAAAGTTTAGATTAACTATTTTGGACAGTGTCCTTATGAATATAAGATATGAAATAGGAACTTAGAAATTGCCTTCATGGAGGTTTGCTCATGGAATATTCATGATTGTCTGTACTTTCTTGACTCTTGAATGTTGCTGAAATATATTACCCTCTTTTTTAAAAAAAAAAATAGATTATTTTTATCTTCTGTGTATGAGGTCTGCCTGCATGCACATATATGTGTGTCCAATATGTGTGCTAAGAGTCCTTGGAGGCTGGATATGGGTATTGGATCCTTGGACTTGGAGTTACAGATGATTGTGAGCCACCATGATGGGTGCAAAGACTCAAGCCCTGGTCTTCTAGAAGAGCAACCAGTGCTTTTAACCACAGAGCCGTCTCTCCAGCTCCTGTATTAGCCTCTTAATGGAGTCATCTACTTTGTTTACCTTACTAAAAAAGTTAACCTTTTATCTCTTACAATGCAGTCTAGCTATATATTCTGGTAGGGACTGATGTTTAAATCATTTTTTGGTTTGGTTTTGGTTTTTGAAGACAGGGTTTCTCTGTGTAGCTTTGCACCTTTCTTGGATCTCGCTCTGTAGACCAGGCTGGCCTCGAACTCACAAAGATCCACCTGCCTCTGCCTCCTAAATGCTGGCATTAAAGGTGTGCATCACCACCGCCCGGCTTAAATCTTTAAGTATTAAAGTAACACAAATCAATTATTACATAATCAAGTAAAGTGATACAAAAGAAACTTCTGAATTGATTTGATTATCATAATCTATTCATATCTTATTCAAAAGTATTCATAATCTATCTCTCTTATTTTTGAGACAAAAAATAGAAATACAAAATAGATGGAGTGATAATTTTGAATTTTAATTCTCATCTCCTAAATAACATTGTACTTTAAGTGTCTGGTTTATTTATAGGGGAGAGAAAGGACAAATAATGAATTCTATGACTTGTTTTCCATCCATAAAGTTTAACAGAGGCTCCTTACCACTTAATCTCAATCCCAATAACTTATTTCAAGAATTAATACATAAGTATTAACTGTTTCCATAATTTTTTTTCCTTAGAACTTTCCAGAAACCATCTGATATTCCCCTTCAGATATAACTTCTGTGTGGGGCTGAAATTTAGACACACCCATGATTCCACCTGCAACAAAGCCTTCCTATGGGAGGCCCCGTTGGCTGATACCATAACAGCAGATTGGGCTGAAGTCATGGAGGGTCTGAATGCTTGGCACATCCTTGTTAGGTAGTGGGAGCCAGGTGAGGCAGGACAGATGGAGCTTTTGGTTAGAACATCTGACCTGTTGTGATACATACATGGTTTAGAACAGTAGTCACCGAAGAAATAGCAATGGCCCGGGGGCTCAGGAGAGAACCACTCCAGGAACATCAACTCTTTAGGTGTTTTGGTACACTCTGACCTAGCCAAGTAGTGTAAGATGTTACCTGTGTTCATGTTGTGTGTTTATGCAATTAACACCTTTGTAATTAACTAACAGTTGAACCAAATGGAAGTGTATTACTATCTTATTCAGTACCTCACATGGAGAATATTGAAAGAGTTCACTTACCTGATTCATAGCTTAAACTAATTCATAATTCTGTCTTAAAAATATAGTCACATCTGAAAAGGAATCCTTCTGTTTTAGAAAAATGGCTGTTTTGTAGCAATATATATATATATATATATATATATATATATATATATATATATATATATATATGTTGCAAAAAAGATTTGAACAGTGCAGCAAGTACCAAGAGATGAAGAATCCTACCCATTCAGTCTAGACAGGTACTGTTGGTATCTGTTACACATCACTCCAGGCATGGTCCCACAGCTGGATGGTGTTTGGTGGGTGTATAGATGGCTAGATAAGTCAGGTGAAAGAAGAGATAATACAGATATGCTGTGTTCCAATCACTGACTGAAGGGGTCCTGTTAT